AAAATAGTATATCTATGCATTATTGTACCCATTAAACAATGTGTATACATAGGAAGAGTTTTCCAACTTAATTTGGCCAGTGGTCTAGCAGAGTATTATATTTAAATACATGGTTTTCATCTAAAATATATAAAAAAATCATATCACTTATATTATAATATAGTCCAATAAAGAATAAAACACGTACGCAAATCCGTCTATTGTGGCCAGGCACGTTCGTAGGGCGTTCGAAGCAACGCCAGAACTTTAATCATTCGCAATACCTTTGAGAATTTTCGTAAAGGACGTAATAAAAGAAACTGAAATACCGAGAAGATTCTTTTAACAAATATCTGAGATGTAATTAAATAGGCCTACTATTGATAGTTCATTTCGAAGTATACTGTGGAAAGTTAAAATGTAAATTGAAAAGCTATTTTTGAATGGAGAAATCCGAAATTACAAACGTCAAGCGCTTCTGTTAGGATAAAAAGCTTTATATGTAGTGCTTTAACGAAGCTTAAATAAGAGACATTCCGCTACTATCGTTGAAGAATAGAAATGTAAAAATTTGAATGGCTTTGTTATTCCATGACATAATGATTTCAATACAATTTTTAAATTGTTACTATTTGATAGGCATGTGAAATAAACTAAAGCAAATGGGATCGATATCTATTTGACCGATATCAATTAACCTGTGGAATCAAGTTTATGGTAATATTTAAAGCCACTCAAATTTAACAAGATAATTTTAAGAGATCAACAGTTTCGAACTTCAAAGATCAAAGATTTATTAACTTGAGATTCTGATTAAATATTTAGTAATATGAAATATCCAGTGAAATTCTGATATCTAAACGATATTTTAACAAGCACTTGTTTCTATTCCTGATACTTTATTATAGCATCTCTATATTTAATGTAAAATTTAATTTGTCTTACTCATTTTGTTTGTTATAACGAAAATAGCTACTATATTAGTATTAAGATTGATATTATTTTATATAAACTTGTTTATATTATTTAGATATACCTACGTAATGTTTTTTTTTGTTTTTACTAGCGACCTACCCTCGCTTCGCTCGGGTTCGTCCGTTGGTGCGTTTTAATTTTTTTGAGCGGAACCCTAATTCGTTTTCTACAATAAAAGTAGCCTATGTTACTCAGCTATCTTCCAGTGAAAGTCCCGTGAAAATTAGTCTAGCCGTTTCGAAGATTATCCGGAACAAACAGACGGACAGACAAAAATGTTAAAAATTGTGTTTTTCTTATAAGTACCGTATAAAATTTCATATGCATTTAGTAAAACGCTGTTATTTTGTCATTACAAACAGACACTTCAATTTTATTTACCTGTATAGATGTAAATGTACATATCATTTATTTATAACTCTATGTTCACATTCCTTCACTTCATACTTTGCTATTTCCTACACCTAAAGGTTGCCTGGATAAAGGATTTCAATAAAGGATTTCCCACAGGATAACGATAAAAGAAAAATTTTTAATCAATTAGTCCCATGTCCATTTGTTACAAGTTACCGTACTAATGACACTAATAATTTATATTTATATGCTAAAGTTTATGAGTTACTTTTTGACTCTATGGCAGCTTAATGGATAAGTTTAAACCAGGACCAAAATAGCTTAAATTATGAAATAACTATATAGATATGATTTTTTATGTACCCAGTGAGAAGAATTTAGTATCTACCTTTTCTTTTTAAAGCTGGGAAATGCATTTATGTATACCACATGTTTAAAGGTGGTTATGTGGAATTAACCGGCTAGAAAAGCCAGTACTACCCACTAAACCCAACAAAACCTCCCCCGTCTTAATGGAGCATCGCACTCAACTAGGGCGCGACGGTAGGTTCGCTGAAGCAGACCACAACAGTCATGGGGTTGCTTCAACAGTCCACTCTGCTGTCAGAGAAATACCAGGAGCAACCCGCACGGTACACCGCCCACCGAAGTGGGCCACCTCCCAGTGCGTTTCTTTGCTTCGCGTTCTGCTGAAGTGCTGGACATATGAGCCCTCCTACCACGACAAAGTAAACACACGTTGGGGGGAGGGCTAATATCTACTACCTAATAAATAACGTAACAAAAAAAGCTCTTGAACCAGGCGGTGCCATCATAATGATAATATTTATTTCACGCCTTTTGCTGTAACAATTAATCTTACTCGCATTCCTTAATTCTTATTAATTAATTATATTTCACAAAGGGAGATAAATATAACCTAATGTATGAAGCGACGGTTAAAAAATGGCTGTTCTTTAGGAGCAAACACTTTCAATTTATTACGATAGAATCTTCTGGCCGAGATTTACTGGGTGAATAAATAAAAAGAAAATTGGTCTGAAAAGGTTCGTTCGTGTAAAACTCGTGAGAGGCATTTGACCGATATTATTCAGACTGCCCTTAACCTAAAAACTTATTTTAAATAGTTTCGTTGAATACCAGAGGCAACTCTTTCAATGCAGCGCGATTTTGTTACTAGTTGAACCATTCGACTTTGTCCACGTTAAATATAATGAAATCTATCTCGTTTAAAAGTCGATATTAAAATTTTTTATCGAATAAGGCTTGTTATTCCATCCAAGAAGTATATATATTATTCTGTCTGTTATGCAGAATAGATAGCTACTCTTGACTTTCTCGCCGGATCTTCTCAGCCGACCCCATTCCGAGTCGATAGCTAAAACTAACTATTAGTACTAAAATTTTTATGTTAAATTGACGATTCATAAATATTTTACGAGTGCTCTTTCTTTTAAAAATATTTTCTCAGTGTTCTTTCGAGTTGACTTATCATACCATTGATAGCAAAACAAAGGATAATCACACTCTATTGCAGTATTTTTGTTAAGTAAATTTTTGTTAAGAAAGGAAGCTCAAAAATAATGAGTTATGTACTAATAATATCCTTATCTTTTTATTTACTATTATTATTGGTATATGTATATTTTTTTTTTTTTTCTTTTCTTCTTTTGTTTATTGTACAACTGAAATGGCTCCATAAATACTCGTAACCACATAAAATTTTAATGGAAGTATTTCTACATAAAGCTGTGCATACTTTTAAATTAAATTTATATACAAATAGGTAAGATTATAATGTTAAATACATGTTTTATGTCAATTTAGCTAGTAAGCCTTTAAAATAAATAAAAAAATAAATAAATATGTTCTTATATATATATATATATATATATATATATATATATATATATATATATATATCTATTATTACAGAGAAAAGATTTATTTTTTTGTAAGTTTGTAATGGATTAACTAAAAATCCGCGGAATCGATTTGGATGAAATTTACTATGAAGATAGTATGATCCCTAAAAAGGACATAGGATAGTTTTAATTCCGGAAATCATCCCTTAAGGGGATGAAAGTTTGTATGGGGAATCAAACATTTCTCAAGTAATAAGGGATATAACATTCATCATACTATGTACATACAAATACGTAAATGTATAATCTATCTATTCCATACTAACCTTTAACACGTAACTAGGGACACAAACCCGAAGGAAGCGAGGGTGAGTCGATAATAGTACATAATCGTGTTCAGATACTGGTAGCTGAGTAAGTATTTTCTATATACATTCTCTTGCAAAAGAATATAATTTGCATATAGTACCTATAAAAAAGAAATAAATTTTAACTTTTAACAGATATCGAAATCGAAACGAATATTAAACATTGAAATCTCTGGAGATTCTTGAGAGCCATTGCGAGTTTTCTTATATAAACAAATTTCAGTTTCGCCTCTCACAAAAACGTATTAAAGTAAACACAGCATACAATAGAATCGTTTATTCGGAATCAAATGGAAAAATATTTTTTCGAGGCACGAATAAAACTTGATTCGTTTCGTTCATTCGGCTGATGGGTAACAATAATAACGAATTTTCGAAAATTTCTTGATCAGCACAAAACCACTTTAACACTCCAATTAAATAAACCAATTACAGGAAAAGTATATTATATTTATTTATTATCTTCATTATCTTCCTTTTCTTGTTGTTCATCGTATCAATAATAAATTAATATTTAAAGAACATTTTTAAAACAAGCTTTTATATCATATAAATTGTGTAATGTAATAAATTGATGAATATGATTTAATTTAAAGTTTACTTTTAATTCTTTAGTTATTTATTCATATTCTTCTCAGCAAACCCTTTTGATGTTCGTATCATGGGGGGTACATAAAAAAAACATAGTCCGCCATTATTGGGAGTCCGCCATGTTGGATTTAGAATAATGTCACTTATCTAACCATTCATTGTCATCAAACTAAATGTGTGTGCAAAATTTTAGTTCAATTGATTGAGGATACCTGCTTTAAAATTCTGTTGCAAGATTTGACCCTAACAAATATACAAAAATTGCAAGTTTAATAAAAGCTTGTAAAATTCAAAATAAATAAAATTTGACTGATAAGGTATGTCATAAGAGTTTCTCTGTTGGTGATTTCTATTTGGTTTGAAATGGAAATAATTTCTTATTAATAGTAGTAAAAATTTAGCACTCTATATATTGCTGGGTCCTCCAGGCGATGTGAAGTAGCACATGTTCGACCACACTGGTCAAATAATCATTAGCTTACAGTACTGAATTATATATGAATTCCGATGTGTGTTATAATGTGCATCTTCTACACAATATCAGGAATATTTTGTACAAAATGTACACTATAATAGATGATTTATCTCGATTTTGGTTCTAGAATTAGTAAAAACTGATTCTGTAGACCGATGACCTTGACCAGTTTAACAATATTTCACATAAAAGAAATATGACGGTTGCACAAATTACAAACAAACATAAAGATAAATTTAGATAGAACTAAAGGCTAATAAATAGTTATGTATCTATAAAGAAACTCTAACATGACTTGTACAGTAATATAATCAAGTGTACATTTGTTTTGTATATATATTGTATACCTTATATTTTTAAATATAATAACAATATTATTAATATTTTTTTCAGATGAAATGGCGAGTGGCTGGCGGGATGGGCATACCGTTCGCTGCTGCTGTCTTCTTTATGTTGCCCCTCTTCACATCATCCACAGGAGATATACGTAAGGCATACCAAATCTATATATATAAATAAAACAAATAATATATATAAAATAAATTGGAATTAGTTACACAATTTATAACTCAAGAACGGCTGGACCGATCTCTATGGTGTTTGGTTTGTTGGATTTGTCTCCGCCCCGAATATCAGAATAACTATTAAAACTTTAGGAAAATTCACGAACACAATTTATATGGCTATAGCTGGCTAATAACTATTTATATCTATTTAAAACGTACCTAGCGACGAACCCGAGCGAAGCAAGGGTGAGCCGCTAGTTATACATAAAAGCTTTAAAAACGATTGATTCTAATTTTGCTACAAATATTATAGACGATAAGTACGATGATATAAGAACGACGATAAGTATGATAATTTGATTCTATGAAATTATAAAAAATATTTGTATGCCAATCTTTATATATATAATTCTTCTGTGAGTGTGTATGTCACTGAACTTCTCTCCAACGACTGGACCGATTTTGATGAAATTTTTTGTGTGTGTTCAAGGGGATCTGGAAATGGTTTAGATTCACAATTTGAATAATAATTTTCATCAAAAACATTATTAAAAAAAGTTTGAAATTTTCAAATTAAAGACGTGTAGACAGGACAACGTCTGTCGGGTCCGCCAGTTGTAATATATAACTGTATAATCTGTTACGTTACTTAAATAAAAGGGATTTACTTTCGTTTTAACAATAATTAAGATGTTTTTGTATGACATGATTACTCAAAAAATATTTTTTCAAAAATAAAAACCGACTTCAAACAAAAGCACTAAAAAGTAAAAAATAACTGATTGGTAGTTTTCATTTACTATACATACCTAATCAAATATTTTCGAAGTCGGTGTGCTTTGCTTTGTATGGGCTGGCACCGATTTCGAAAATATTTGATTAGGTATGTATTTAATAGGTAGGCTTTAATTACTTACCAAAGCAAACTTTATATACATACCAACTACAGATAATAAAAAAAAATAATTAAACTTTATCTATAGGTAGGTTATATAATAAAATTGTAAGCCGAATCTTTACATTAAATATTTTTTGGAAAATCTTATTGAAATAGACATTATTATCGATACAGAGGCCGAATCTATAGTTCTGTCTGTCTGTCTGTCTGTCTGTAATCGCATCACAGAAAAACCACTGGAGGGATTTTGATGAAATTTGACATGATGATAGCTGGTTATCCAGGTCAACATATTGGATACTTTTTACATTTCTGAGAAAAATACAAAAACTACAATTTAAGAGTATACTAATAAATAAAACCTAAGAATTTGGTTTTTGGTCATCAGAACGCGGGCGGAACCGCGGGCAATGCTAGTTTTTAATATTAAGTTATATATTTTGTTCAGATTACTTCTGTCACTTAACGGTTCTATGCATTTTGGATTTACCTTTATCTGAATTTAAGCAATACAAATATAATCTATATGGTTATACATATGTATATAAATAGGGTAAGCCAAATGCATAACACGTCAGTACCTTTTTCTCCTCGGTTTGTCAAACAATTTTCTTTTTTTTACGTTTAATAGCTTTTGACGAGTTTTAGTAAAAAAAATATGAAATAGCTTTTTATATATATAAGTAAGTTCTGTTCATGTATATTTTCCTTAAATTTTTCTATTAAAATTATGGTCGAATTTTGACCTCTGGGCGAACACTAGTTTGACAACGACGTTTGGCTCAGTTTATAGTAACCCTACATGCTGTGCCAGCGGTTGCGGGTTCAAGTCCTGCTGAAGGCATTCATTTGTGTGATGAGCACGAAAGCTTATACTCCAGTCAAGGGTATTTATATTTATAATGTATATATGTATGTAATATGTGTATTTAAAGTTATAGTGTGTTATATGTGTAGTGTATCAACTATCTGGTATTTATAACACAAGCCTCGGAGCTTCCCATGGAACTAGATGGTGCTGTGTGTTAATGTCCCAACATATTTATATTTTATATTTAATTATCTTAGTTTACCAATATTTGTATACAAACATGAACTAAGATTGAAACGAAATTGCTTTTAAAATTTTTCGCAAACGTAACCAACAGAATAAAGGAAATATTGCACAAAACCCACAGCTTATGAAGTGTTAAGCCGGATAAATCAACACATGGGAAGCAAAGCATGAGAATTTTGCTGCCGCTTAAAATTTTCAATTTACAGTACAAAATCGACATTTATTCTGAACAAATTTTAAAAGCTTAGAACGTGAATGGCTGTGGAACGAAATCTATTTGGATTCCCGGAAAGCACAATGCAAAAATATTTGCGAATTTCTTTATTGACATTAAGTCTTGTATCACGAAAATTCAAAGTAGAAAAGTTATAAATTATGATACGTTTATAAAACGATATTGTTTTTATTCTAAAAATATTTTAGCTTGTTTTTTATACTCACTAGTTTAAACAAAAGGATGATCAAAACAATACGTGTCAGAATAACAAGCAAAATGAAATCTGCACCAATGAACTTATACAAGCAATTGGAAATGAATAAATTAAGTCATTAGCGGCGTGAAAAGCCATATTTTTTCCTATATCAAACTCACAAAGAAAAAATACAAGCGATGAATAGAGATTTCGCTTTTGGCATCGTACAAAATATTGTTTCAAAACTACTGTACAAATAATAAAAAATACACTTGAATTAAAACCAAAAACAAAGGAATTCAAATTCAGCTGAAAAGAAATAAATTAAGAGTACAAATTATGAGCGCACAAAACAGCTATCATGTTATTATATTATTTATATTATTAAGCTACTCGACTCTTCAAGTACTTGTAGAATAACTATTACGTGCGTGTCTGTGTGTATGCGTGTGTGTGTGTGTGGTTGTGTGCGTTTATATTTTTGTTACTCCTTAAATTTAAACTGCTAGACGGCTTTAGGTGTACGACACATCGGGACTACGAGCAACGTCACTAGTAAAACCACATTTTAGGTTTAAAATCAGAACCTAAATATACTTTTCTTCTGTAAATCAAGTCTCTAGTGTTTATCTTTGCAGGTCATCACGGAACTTCGAGAGCTCGAGGCTGGCGAGGCACAGTGCAGGCGCCGGCAGACGTCACAGCGAACAATTCAGTAAGCAACGTCACTGCACAACTAGGCGGCACCGCCTATCTCCACTGCCTCGTGGGACACTTGAGTGAACGAGGGGTACGTTTTTACACTGTTTTATTCGGAATATTTTTACTATTTCTTTTTTGGTTGGTAGGTATTTGAATCATTTAATTCAATCTATATTGTTTTCGTCTCGATAGTACCTTATTCGTCAAACAATATTTCAATATCAAAAATTATAATTTTAGTCTTAAAATTGTCTTAGTTTATAAATAACACATATTCAGGCCTTTTTCACGTGCCAATACTGGGCACGGCTTAATGCAAAGGGGGTTAGGCCATAATTTGCCAGGATGGCGTGTGCGATTTGGCAGACTTCACATATCTTTTAAAAACTTGATAGCTTCTCCCAGATATGCAGGTGTCCTTACGATATTTTCGTTCACCATAAGATAAGGAACTCATATTGAAAATTATTCGAATATGACAACGTCAGAGATATGAAACCCGGGTTTTAATTCGCTTTACTTGGTTTTCCAAGTTACAACTGGGCTACTGGTATCTTTTTAAAAATCACGTTATTATTCCATTTATTTTGTATCCTTAAGTCACATGAAATTACAAACATAATATTTCTCATACACAATGCTTTAATTAATCAAAACATGATAGAATTTTAATCACATTCTGCCCTATATAATGGTTATAAATTGCTGAAATTTCACCACTAATGGAATAAGTTCCTACTGTTAAGGCTTTAGACTAACGGTAAAATAACTTACTTCTTAAATTCAAAGTTAATTACCCACATTCTTTAAGGATGCCTTGAAATACAAAAATGTAATCTTAAGAATTATCTATCATCATAAAGTTATTCAAATAAAGGAAGGAAAAAATGAAATTACCATACATATTTCATATAATAATATTTTTATTTGACACATAACTTTTATTTGAATAAAAAGATTTCGTCATAGAACGAAACAACCAAGAAAAACAACAAGTGACTTGAAAATACACGAGGGATTGCAACCGAAAAAACTACGAAATTTATGTTCATCCGCTAACTTTAGTTTTCTAAAAAAGATCCCAAACCTTTCAACAGTCTGTGTTGTAAGACTCGAGATCATTACAGTCGATCCTTCTTCCAAAACTTGACCGACGAAAAATAGACAGATTTTATATTCGAGAAATTATAAAAACACATTAACATGAAGCTTTATATTTATAAGGTGTATTTCTATATTATTTGTAGATCACAGAGTGTGGTGAAAAGCTTTTTGGAGCTAGATGTTGAAAACTATGGCAAAATAAAACGTTTAGAACGTCCGTCGAATTTGCCTCCTAATGTTAAACGAGCAGTATTAAAAGATTATCAAGTACTGGAGCATCATCATTGACATTAGTGCGTAGATTTAATTTAAACTGTGATGCTAGTCTTGTGAGAAAGTGGGCACAAGTGCCCAGACGCTTTAAGTATCGGCAGTACCTAAGTTAATCCGTCTTAAAAGCCAAGCTTGTTGCAGAAAGACCAAAATGTGCAGAAAAATGTATCAAAAAAGGAAAAGCTTCTGGAAACACGTGATTTTCTCAGATAAAAAGTTTATTTGCGACTGTCCGGACGGTTTTAAATATGATTGACATGATTTAAAGGTTTGAACGGAAAATAATGTCTCGTCGAGCTCATGGAGGTGCATCGGTCATGGTTTGGGGTGGTATCACTGGTAATTTAAAGATAGAATTGGTGTACTGTAGTAATCGAATGAACGCTACTAATTATCGAGAGCTATTATTCGACCATCTTCTACCATTCATTATGTTGACTGAAGAAAAAATATATTTTTTCAATCGGACAACTCTCCAATACACGCTCCAATACACATTGCTCCAACTACAAAAAAGTGCTTTCAAGACTTCGGTATACCACTATTCGACTGGCCAGCAAGCAGTCTCGTTTAAATCCGATGGAAAATGCTTGGGAGATCTTAGCAAGAAAAAAATATAAGCAAAAAAACCCCAAATCAATAATATTTCTCAACTTAAACAAAGACTGCAGTCTTGTTGATCCAAAAATACATCAATTGATGAAATTTCGGACTAAAATTTTATAAAAAAGAATTAGTTGATAGTATACCCGATAGACTAATCGAAGCCATTAAAAATAAGGGTAAATTGACGAAATATTAATTAATATATACATTATGAAGACATTGAGTTTATAATTATTCCCAGTTAATACTTGCCTTTAGGCATTTCCTTCATTTTTATATTTATTGTAATGAATAAAAAAAATGTTCACATACACTAAGAGTTTTCTTTTTTTGTGGCCTTTATTTAATGAAACAACGTTTAGAACTACATACTTATTTCCACATACAATCTTGAAAATTGAATATGAGTCTATATTTTTTCACAGCACTGTAAAAACTACAAAAGAATTTCGAAAAACTGTTTCGTATCCGTTCGTAATTTTTGTTTTTAGATATAGGAGATGGTATTAGGCTAGCTGCTTATTTTAATATAAGCCTTCTACGCCAAATATTAAAATCTGGTGTGAGAATATTTCCTTGTTAACAACTTAGTAAATGTGTTAAACCATGATATTTTCTTATCAAAACAAAATTGAGTTGTCTTAACGAGGGTCTAGAATAACAAAGACATCCGCTGTGTGCACTCAGCTTAACGATGCCATTTTATCTTACAAAAATGGCCTCTAAAACGCAGATTTAGTGAAAATTCAATGAAAATTTATGCAATTTTTGCTTAATTTTTAATTATTTAAGTATAATACAAATAAGTATAGCTTTAACTCTTGGAACCTTCACTGAAAATCGCGGTGTCGAATCCTGCTTAGGACAAAGTTTTTTATTGGGTAAATACATTATTTAAGTATTTGGCCACATTATTCTCATTTTATTCATTGTAAGCTTATACGGCTGCTAATCTGGCGATCTTGGGTTCAATTCCCGAGTAATAACAAGTATAGATCAAGAAATTCTTAATAGCAATTGGGAAGCTGGTGGTGTTACATCCCTTTGGAATAAAGTTACTCATTTTAATATTTATTTTGCAGCAAGTGTCCTGGGTAAGGAAAAGGGATTGGCACATCCTGAGCTCCGGGAAATTTACTTACACCAATGACGAACGATTTCAGGTACATTATAATTTCTATTTTCTTTCTTTCAAAAAAAATCTTTGTGTTATTAGTTAATTTACTATTTTAATAGTAATTACTCTATATATATATATATATATATATATATATATATATATATATATTATATATAATATTAAAAACAGTGATATATACTTTATGCAGTGTCATACTATTTGACGGTGGTTTTGAATTTATCGAAATTATCAATATTTTAATATCTATATACTATAATAATTACAGTTATCCAGTAAATAGGTACAATTTTTGGTATATAACTCGATAATATCTAACCCTTCCATCCAACCCTTACGTTGGATCATAATTGGTCTAACAAATGGTCCAAGCAATACAAGCATAAATCAGTAGTTATAGACAGAATCAAAACTAGTTACGTACAGACGGCAGTCGCATGTAATTTGCCCGTTAGATTGATTGGACGTGATATATATCGAATCGTAAAAGCCATAGACGATACATCAGCAGGTCTGATACCTCAGAAGATAACAGTATTGTAAAATTAGGATAGCTTTTCTTTTACTTATTACTGTATACTGGATTTCTCGCCCTCTCGTGGTAATTTGATAAATAAAGAAAATTTGATAAAATAGTAATTCGCTTAGTAAAATATAATTCAAGAAAAATAGTACTAAATATACTAGCAATGCTTTACCAGTTTAATCTGTACATATAAATAATATTAAACTGTCTGTCTGTAATATTAGAATAAAGCATTATTTTTTACCATAACAGTTAAAAATTTCGTAAACGTTCTAAAGATAGAAATATCTTTTTGGTAAGTTCCCATTAATTTTATCATAAACAGTCTTTATAGAAATAGAAAATATAATATATAAGAATAGAAAAGATAATATTACGCTAAATCGTGTTTCAGAAGTACTTATTTGAAATAACTAGCGACTCACCCTCGCTTCGCTCGGGTTCGTCCCTTGGTACGTTTTAAATTAAAATGGATATACTATGTTATCCTTAAGAGATAGACATATGCCATCGCGGACTTTTCTGTAGTCCTATATAAGATACACAATTCCACCATACATTATTTTGTTATATCGTAAAGGGTTTAGGCAGCGATTTCGTTGAAAGCTCCCAGACCTCCAACAAATATCGTTATATTTTAGCCAATGTTTACAAAAACTTAACAAATTATATATTCAAACCTTCCTCTTGAATCATTCTATCTATTAAAAAAACCGTATCAAAATCCGTTGCGTAGTTTTAAAGATTTAAGCATACATAGGGATAAAGGGACAGAAAAAGCGACTTTGTTTTATACTATGTATTGATAGTGAAGGCGCTACATGGTCATCCCAAACACATAGATATACATAACAGAATATATAATAACGAAAAATAAACTTTAACAATTTTACTCCTGCAATGCGGTAGTAACTAGTAAATACAATTAAGGCAAATAATAATTATTTACAAAATTAGGAAACTAGACTATCTCTGAACACTAAATGGACACGAATTGAAAACCACAGTATTAACGCTCTACAGCTCTTGTGAAAATGTGATCCTGCAGTACAATTTAGATAACTATCTAATAAACTAACGATGGATTATATATATAGAGCACTGTTTAGTACCGAAATTGGATATTCATGTAGTAATGATGGCATTATATAATAAATCTATACTAATATTATAAAGAGCAAAAATTTGCTTTTTTGTTTGTTTGTATCGAATGAGCTCCGAAATTACTAAACTGATTTAGTTGAAATTTTGTAAGAAGATAGTTTGAGGCCTTGAGAAGGATTTAGGATAAAATTTATTCCGGAAATCATCCCTTAAGATTTGAAAATGGGGATGAAAGTTTGTATGGGGAAGCAACCTAGGGGCAGCACCCGAACAAAACGAGCGTAAGTCGCTAGTTAACAATAAACTAATAGAAGAATTCTGTTAAATAAAACCTGTTTCTATTAATATGTATAATGTATCTTCCTTTCCATTGCTTGATAAATGTTACGTTTCCGAAGTAGTTAAGAGAACATCACGTCGTCCACGTTTCCAGAATAAAGGGGCGATCGATACAATTAATTATACAGGACCAGTGATATAAAGCCTTATATACTAGTTATTTTACATGACTTCGTCCGTTTGTTTGTTGTATATTAGCTTGATACCATAAATTTCTTTTAAACCATCGTTAAGCTTTAATTTTAACGTTGAGAAACTATAGTAACTGCTTGAAAACTATATATGGAGTAGAAAGGAAAATTACAAAATTTGCAAAAAATGTAGGAGTATTTTGTTACGAAAACCTGAAAAACTGTCCTAAATTCTTTTGTGACTATACAAATTCTTTAATATATAAAGCTAAAGACTTGTTTGGACGCGGTAATTTCTGGAACTACCAATACAATTTGAAAAGGCCTTTTTGCATTTCATATCCTGTTCATTGAGGTAACATTAACATCTAACATCACATTATGGCAGAGTGTAAGCAATTATTAATAATACTAGCGACTCACCCTCGCTTCTATCGGGTTCGTCCATAGGTAAATTTCAATTTTTTTGAGCGGAAACCTAATTCTTTGTTTAAAACTGTTGTAGATGTAGATTATGTTACTCCCTATAACATCAGCCATCTTTCAGTGAAAGTCCCGTCAAAATCAGTCTAGCCATTTCAGAGATTATCCGGAGCAAACAGAGAGACAGACAAAAATTTTAAAAATAGGGTTTTTCTTGTAAGTGCCATGTATAATTTCATATGCATTTAGTAAAACGCTGTTATTTTAACATTACAAACAGACATTTCAATTTTATTTATCTGTATAGATTAATAAAGTTCACATGCGTAGCCACGGACAGTACTAGTTTAGTTTCTAATTTGGAAACTTTGCCATAAATTAAAAAAATTAAGAAATCCAATATATTGTGTCTATACTTCGATTATGGTATGAAATCTTTATTACCTACTAACGATTCGCCCTCGTTTCGCTCGGATTCGTCCCTAGATACGTTTTAACGGTTACTATGGAATAGACAAACTATATATTATTATTTATACATATATACATAGGTATGATAAGTTTTATATACCTTACTTGAGAAATGATTGATTTCCCATACAAATTTTCATCCCCCTTTTCGCCCATTTAAGGAATGATTTTCGTTATAAAAACTACGTTCTATACAGGGTCTCAAACTATCTTCCTACCAAATTTCATCTAAATCGGTTCAGCAGATTTTCAATTTATAAGTTACAAACGAACATACAAACATACAAAAAAATCTCTTTGTAATATTTATATATTTATATATATATATATATAATATATATATATAATTAGATGAATACACACATACAACATGAAATTAAGCAATAACTAGATAAGGAAAAAAATATTAAAGAAATTTTCAACTAATTTAAATGTAAAAAAATAATTAGTTCATTCCACAATTACCCAAATTTCGTCAAAAATAGGTACAAGTTATGATAATTGTCATACGATTCTATTTTCAGCAAAATGAATTGATAAGAACAGACGTTTTGATTGAGATTGATCAATCGAGTTTCGTGACGTAAAAGCTATAGATATTTCCGTGACATTTTCCTTTTCCAATTTATTTCTTCATAAATGAATTAAAGAATCTGTGTTAAAGAAAATATTTAATACTAGCATTGTCCGCGGCTCCACCTGCGTTCAGATGACCAAAAACCAAATTCTTAGGTTTTACATATTAGCATACAGTACATTGTAGTTTTTGTATTTTTTCTCAGAAATGAGACATTTTCCCGCAATAAAAAGCATCCTATATGTTGACCCGGATAACCAGCTATCACCATACCAAATTTCATCAAAATCCCTCCAGTGGTTTTTCAATGATGCGATAACAGACAGACAGACAAAAAATTAAAAAAACTATAGATTCGGCCTCTGTATCGATAATAATGTCTATTTTGATAAGATTTTCAAAACAATATTTATTGTACAGATCGGCTTAGTTAGAATTTTATTATATGTATAGATAATAATATTACAGGTACTTCATGGCGAAGGATCAGAGGATTGGACCCTCCAAATCAAGTTCGTTCAGAAGAGGGACAATGGTACATATGAATGTCAGGTAATCAAATTCACTTACTTTAGTCGTAATTTAGTTTTGTTTTGTCGATAGAGTATTTTCGGTTCGAAACTATTTTTGTGAAACAAATATCTTGTTTTATAATAATATTATTATTATTATGGTAGGGGAGCCCACGAAGCTAAATGGGGATTTACTCGAGCGTCGTAGAGACCTATTGGGATGCAAAGCTTAGATGATAAGAAGAAAAAATGTTATATGATATATACCTTTACATCGGTGGGGGAAGCGGCTATAGATTTTTAAATATGTAAAAAAAAACTGTTGCATAGACATCCTCGAGCGCGTCAGATATTGATAGCATCAATGCCCTACGTATTTTTAATAATGTACGTATGTTAATCTGATCGTTTGCATGATGCGGGTGGTTGTATTTAAGGGTTGAAAATGAAAAAAAAAAAAGTTAATCGAGCGCGTCAGATTTTCTAAGGGAGTGTTAATTGCACCAAAAAAAAAGCTCTCATTCACTAATCTGACGATTTCGATGGGACGCAAACTCGCGGCCATTTTCATAATGTGCAAAAAAAATTCGCCATTTTGAAATACTCAAGCGCGTCAGATTAAGATATATATGGTTCATCTTTATGTTCTAAACGTACTGTCTCATAATCTGACGATTATCTAGAGGGATTCGCCTGATCTGACAAAAAAAAATTAGAAAAACGGTTCACCTTAAAGGCCATACCTGCAACTTCCCGCTAATTCCATTCCTGTGCGCTTAAAATTGTACTTATGGCATTTTTGAGCTCAAAATATAATTTATGTGATATTTTGAGCTCGCAGAGTTCAAAGAAATAATATTTCTATGCATTTGAGCTCTCCCAGCTCGAAAGTCTGATAGAAGTTTCATAGAACACTATTTTTGGAATTTTCAAACCGCAATAACTTTTGAATAGATCAACCAATTTTCACGCGGTTGACGGCATTCGACGCAGTTTTATTATCCTCATAAGTTATTTTCAGGTTTTAATTGATCGAACCAAAAATTTCGGAGTAATCCCGAAAAAACACTTTTTTTCGGTTTTCTTTCGTTCACGATATCTCTCGAATTGAAGATCCAGAGATATTTCATTAATTCGCGAATTATTCGAAAACTTTCGAATTATTCGAAATTTTTACGAATTATTCGAAATTTTTCGAATTTCGAATCGAATATTGATATTCGATTCGATTCGAACGATGTTCGCACACCCCTAGACTCTTTATGATCAGCTGTGATGGTGTCATGGCGGCAGAAACCAGAGTGGGGACGGAGTGAGAGAGTAATAGTAGAGAAAGAGTGAGAGAGGAATAGAAACGCGGAGAAGGAAATGTAGGCATCACGCAGCTGCACGCATTTAACTTTATCGACGAATTTTTGTTATTTCGGCTTGCGAAAATCGTCAGATTATATATTTTTCATTATTCTTGCATTATTTCCTTCAAAATAAAAAAAAATTTAGCTACGCTCGAGAATGTCGAGATGACGTTTTTTTTTTACAACTTTGTTGCCCTCCCCTTTTTTTACGTCACTCTCAAATTGTCAGATTAGTGGAATATACACTTTTTAGGATGTAATTAACTCACCCTACCTTAATCTGACGCGCTCGAGAATTTCTGGTGGTCAATTTTTTTTTACTAATCTGATCCTGTATCCTTCACGGGCGGCCTTATATATGGGCTTCATGTTTTGTGGAGGTACTTAACCGGGTACAAGGTATCCCCCTGTATATTAATCTGCCGCGCTCGAGTAACTACAGAAAATCCCCTCTTGGGCTCCCCTACTATTATATACGTCTTTGGATTTACGGGATCAATGGAGCTCTAATCTTTGAAAGACTTGCGTGGGGACTTTGCGATGCTATTATTATTTAAAACAAGGATATGTAGAGATTTTTTTTGGATAAAATAAGCTAATGAACAGTTTTTATTGTTTTATTAACTTTAAGTTATATTTTTAACTTTGTAACATATTTTCACAAAACTTTCCAGATGATCTAATATAAAAATATTACAATAGAAAAAGATTGTTCTTTTATAAAAAGTTCAATTGTTGGTTAAAAAGAAATAAATTGTCATATTATAATATTTAAAATGCCGTCAGAAAGTAGTTTTTTTTAATAATACATAAATATTGAGATATATAACAAATCCTTTTCCAAACTGTTTTAGCTGTCTCAAAATATTTCAGTTCTTAAATAATATATTTTCTCATATAAAACGTTTATTACTTTTAAATGAGATTCGAAAGCCCAACTATGTAACGCAACAAAGAAAAAAGCTAATTTTAAATATATAAAAGAATTATCTACGTTTAACATCAAAAATAATATTCTTTTCATTATACAAACTGAAAGCCATTTACTTAGGAACAAATTCTCAGTAATTACATTTTGAAATTATATTATCTCAAATGAAAATAGTTGGAGCGAGCTGAAAAATAAATCTAAACGTTATAATTAGATGAATCTTTTTACCAACTTAATAAGTAAAGCAATTCTCTGAAAATAGCCCAAGCAAAGAAGGTTTTTACATCCATGTCATTTAAATTGCAAATGTGAAAAGTGCGCTCGGGAAATGGCGGGAACATTTCTGATATAACTGTACAGATAATAGAATGCTAAGTTGACAGCATAAAAATATATTAGTACAAAAATATAAACAGAATGTATGGGTGGTGTTGTCAGCTTAGATGCGATTGGCAATTTTGGATGTCATTGAGTGTGTGAGATTGTTGAATCTTGTTTTCTTTTTATTATGATTTAATATTTTAACTCTTATCATTTACAATATTAATAAGTTAACTAAATTGGCCTTTGGCTTATAATTGAAGTAAATTTCTACAGTGTCTAGGTACTTGTTAAAGAAATTATAAAACATTAATTATATAAATGAAATAAGATTCTTTGTTTACTGTTAAAGAGATTATTAAGTAATTAGCATTTCCCGCGGCTCCGCCCGAGTTCAGAAGACCAAAAACCAAATTCTTAGGTTTTACATATTACACTCTTACATAGTATACTCTTACATAGTATACTCTTACATAGTATACTCTTACATTACAATTTTTGAATTTTTTCTCAGAAATAAGATTTTTTACCGCGGTAAAAAGTATTCTATATGTTGACTTGGATAACCAGCTATCACTATACCAAATTTCATCAAAATCCCTCCAGTGGTTTTTCTGTGATGCGATAACAGACAGACAGACAAAAATTCTAAAAACTATAAATTCGGCCTCTGTATCGATAATAATATTATTTCCATAAGATTTTCCAAAAAATATCTAATGTACAGATTCGGTTAGTTACAATTTTATTATATGTATAGATTATTACAATATATTTCAGTCGATTTTTTCAGTTATGAAATTGACGTAACATATAATAACATTATCAGATTGTTTTGCTTTTAGAAGGCCCTGTACCATTTAGGTATAGAGTGCCACTTCTATTTTTTTTAAATTGGCTGTAACGTATGGTAAGTCATGACCTAAATATAATACTTTTGCCTTTTAGCACTTAAACTTAAATAACTACGCAAATTAGAACTAAAATTTCCCTTAATAATTAATTAATAATTTAAATTTTTAATAAGCAAGGGTGATGATAACTATACAAAATAACATCAAGTCTTGTAGTTTTATGTGTTGGTATAATATAGAATTGGATTTCTATAAGAGATATTTCTACACATTACCCAAATCGGTAATCAACTTAGGCATTGAGATATTCAAGATGGCAAATTTTCGCAACGTATATACCAATTATCCTGTTTATCATTACAATTTGCATATTTTCTTTATTACAGCGTAGGGATCGTTTAGAGAATGTGTTGGGGGTAAGTGGGGTAATTAGTTTAAATGTGGGCGGCGTAATTATTATGTTACCTGAGAGGAACTTTCGTATTCAGTGTATGCTTTTGTAATATGTAAATATTGTTTGTAATTTTAGTTTATTTTCAAACTAAATAATGAATTTAACAAGTTTTTTTATGATAATTTAAGAAAAGTTTTATTATTACAGTCATTTGGTAGTTTTACCTGGAAAGTTTTCCGGGAGTTTTGAAAATTTGTGATTTTATAGATCTTGACGGACACTTTCTGCCACCTCGTATCTTTGCCGCTGGCGCCGCCATATTAGAAAAATGGCGTCTAAAAAACCGTTTTTTGATAATATCTCCTTTGCTGCTTATTTAACGAAAAAAATTATTGCATATTAAATTAAACTAAAGAAAATTTCCTATAATTTATGTATAACCTTTTTTTCTAAAATGAATTGCTTTTGCGTACGAGCGCTTCAAAGTCGAATGAACATGAGTGTTTTGACTAAAAAAACTTCTTTCCACACCACCATGTTAGGTAGAGTAAAAAAAATAGTGTTAAATCCACCAAAGATACGAAAAGAAGACAGAGCGTAAAATAAATCACCATAATCATCCTAATATCTAAAAACATCCGTAGTGAAGCTATATAAAAATAAATTTAAAACAAAGTCCTGCAAAGCTTAAAAGAACGAGTGTTAAACGTTCCTTAGTTTGTTTTATCTCGTTCCGAAGAAACATACTCAGAACTAACTAGCAACGAAGAATACTTCAAAGACGCTTACGATATAGAAAAGTTGAAACGAAGTAAAAATTCCTTATAACTTAAATTGGTATTGCCTCTAAGAAAGAATGTGTGATGAAAGATTGCTAGGATTTGTCGCTGTTACAGGGAGCTTTTGCTATTGGGAGTTGACAATTGCTTTTGTCTATATTTTCCATATTTAAATATTATATTACTTTCTTATATTTATGTTAATATTGGAAATCCATATACATACTAATATTATAAATGTGAAAGTGTGTTTGTTTGTTTGTTGTTTTGTGTGGATAGTTGGCTAGAAAGTGGCATTGGATTTAGACTTTTTACCGCGGGTGATTATCTCATTCCCACGGGAAAACACGTTATGATACAACCCAAATAAATATTTATGATCACAATTATTTGAAACTTGCTAATA